GCATCATCAATTAGTAGCATAACATGATATTTTCTCCATTTATCGGATAGATAATTGATTGGTTTACATATCAAAAAGTGTAGGTACACAGATGCTGCAACTTTTTTTTTGAGATTGGGTGTAGCTGCTGATAAGTGTGACGCCACAAATAGCCAGTGTAAGGTAAGARTATATGGGCTCTGGTTTCAACGGTATCTGGTTCCATCTCTGTTCAGCACCAATCTCTGATTAGCTCAGACCAATTCTCGTTTACGAGTTAACTGCTTTGTCTTTAACACCATTTATTTCAGGCCTATCTGAGCGCAATCATTGTATATCTGTATAGTCATGACCTGAAGCAAGCAGAAAAATGCTACAATGACTGTTCACAGTGAGTATCCTCTTCTCTCTTTATGCATCCACTTGGTAGGTTGATGACTAGTAATATCCGGACCATGTATGTTTCCGCTAACAAGATACATGAATAGTTTTGTCAAATATGGAAATGTGATTCTAACTTTTTTTTGTGTCTGGAATTCTCTCTTTTTGTTTGTAGGATTGATGCTTTTCTGAAGAGCGATCAGAACCGAAGCGCGAGTAGATTGCTCACAGCCTATAATGAAGGTGACATTGAAGAAATCAAGAAGGTGGCGAGCTCAAGCACTGTCTCGAATTTGGATAATGTGGTAATTCATTTAAATGATCTGCCTAATTCAAATCTTAATCATAATCATGTCTCTCTTTTTCAGAATGTATTTGTTCTGCATCTCTGGGTTATTGCGAAACCAAAACATCATATAATGTTTCATTGAATGACCAGAATCTAATATGGAGAAGTATTTGTATGCAGATCATCAAGTTGGCTAGAAAGCTACCCACAGGAGATGTTACTGCGGTTCAGATGAACACTGGTGAAGATCTCGACGAAGATGATCTTACTTAAAAAGACTCTTCTCTTTGTACAGATTCAGATTCCCATACTTTGTTTCTCTTTTCAAGCCAAAGATTTAAAGAAAAAGAATATCATTTTAGCCCAAAGCACTGTGTGAGTGATTTATAACGGTTTCAAATTTGGATGTGTGCTTGTTCCTCCATGAAAGCCCACTCAAACACTAAAGTTTGTGTTAGTGTTATTTTGTAACTTCTTCTGCTCAACCTAGGCTGGTTAGTATCTTCATTTAACAATAAAAGACAACAGTTATTTCCTAATTTCAATCTGGATTTTGTAAAAAAAGGAATAGGCTGCTAATCATAAAAACTTTTTCTTTTTCTTCAATTAAAGATGGTACAAATAAGCAAATGAAATACAATGGTACACAGCAAATGCAATACAATCATGAATCCTAAACCCTTTCTTTTGATAAAGGACAGACAAACAAAGTTAACTCTCATGTCTACTTTTGTATTACCTCTCTAGATTTCTCTCTTACTGTTACAGAATCACTGAAGCCTAAACACATACCAAAGGAAGCAACAACACAATCAACTTCAAAGAGTTTGTATGTCTGCTTGCTCATCATCAAGGACTTTTCTCCATCTTATCCACTAAAGAAGATAGCTCTTCCTTGAGCTCGGTGTTGCGTGCCTCACCGCACAGAAGTCCATGCATCATTACTAGCTCTTCTGGTGTCGCCTTCTTCAAAAGTCCACGCAGAAGCCTTGTGTCCCGGTCCATAGAGGGATCTGAAACCCCTCCTCTCTCTGTATTATCATTTTCTTCTTCCTTAGCCAGTTCCACAACAAACAATTTTGCTGATTTTTGGTTCCAGTACTCCTCCAATTGATGCTTTGGATCAAGAGCCTCAATCACCTGTGCACAATGTTAGCTCTTAGTCCAGACTCAGTACTCATTTCAGCTACTGAGAACATTTGCAGAGAAATGAAAGAAAAGATGGGAATCTTTTAATGGTCATGCCAACAAGGAAGACGCTCAAGTGGAAATGGAACAGAAGATGGGAGGCTTATCACCCAGCAAACAGAAAAAGAACGAACCTTTTCACCACAAGAAGATTCAGAACAACTTAGTTTTACGGGTAAGTGTGAGAAATTAGCTGTTACCTGTACAATGTGCGGGGATAGAAATCCAAACATTTCAAGCCCATTTATACTCTCCAAATGCTGTAAAGAGGTCAAAGAGCTAACTGGTTGATCACATTTCTTGATGATTTCGAGTTTAAGCCTTTGTATGACCATTTGCCAGCACTTCTCAGCTGATACATTCGAGAAATTCTCACTCGGACATTCTTCTACTGAGACCTGAAATATATACTGAATGGATCAGTAACTTACCACCTTTGTATGTTATGAATGATCAAACAAAAATTTAGTCAATATTCTTTAAACCACTACATAATTAGTGTACCCTGAACAGTGGACCAAGAAGCCCTGCATCCAGAACCTCCGAGATGTAGTTGGTTAGTTTTGTTGGATCAAGGACGCTTAAGAACTTAACACGGCTCTTGAATCCTGTAAAATTCAATCAAAGGCAAAAATCTTATAAGGCATAAACAATGCTAAAGTACAAAGCTCATCCGAAATCTTCAATTCATCTCACCTTTTAGGTATATGGCTTGCTTGCTGCACCACAGCTTTTTAACAACAAGAGATCCAGACTTCAGAAGCTCAACAGAGTCACTTAAGCCACTGGTTGCAGCGTCTTGATCCTTCCCTTCTAAACCACCGTTAACTTTCTTAGGCGGCTCACTACACCCTACATTTGGAACTGAATGTCGGTTTTGAGTATCAGTCAAAATCTTCTTCTCATCAAACTTACTTATCTCGCCAAGTTTTACAACCGTGACAGCTGACTTATCACTGATGCCTTGTACGTCTTCTTGATCACCATCTTGTTTAACTTCCTTGTTTATGACTAGATCACTTTGTAAGCCTTTAGATACTAACTGAAGATTGTTATGTTCTCGCTGCTGTACTTTCGATGAACCACGACTCTTTGAAGCTTTAATGTCCAAGGCTTCTTTTGCTCTTGAATACTGTGTAGGATTCTGCTCACGAAATTTACGTGCCCATGTTTCTATGCCATCGGAATCCCCTTCTAGAGCTCTGACCAGTGACCATAACTCATCCAAGGTGTGGCGAAGAAGGACAAATCTCTCCTTGCCTTCACATGAACACAGATCCTTAGCGTGTGTAAGACATGCAAATCGATTTGGGGAACACTTGCAGCTTGAAGCAGACAGATGCAAGTCATAGAAGCACAAGAAGCACTCCCGTTCTCTCTTAATGTCAAAGTCTCCCTCCATCTTTAGCACGGTAAAACTATCCTGAAGGTGGCTTAGTCTTTCTTCCTCCATCTCCACCCGCTTCTGCTAACCTTAGTTATGTTAGTGCCATTAAAGGTGTTTGACTCAATATTTAATCAACAATCAAGTGCATTAGTCCTCAATTGCTTCGGAGTAGACTTATCAATCTATGAAAATGTGACTCTATTACCTATGCTTGTCTGGTATATATTTGTACATGCATGCATATGCAGGTGGACGAAAAAGAATTAGCAAAGCAAAATTACCTTGACTGCCTTAGTAAGCAATCCATCCTCACTACAAACTCTTTTCCATCTCACAATCGCAGGAGTTTTCTTCCTTGAAACTGAAAGCTCCCAGAGGGAATGTGTAGCTTCCATAGCTGCTCCAAGAAGCAGCTTGTCATGTGACAATGAACTCTTTCGCCGCTGCTTACTATAGCCTTCCACTGCATTCTGTCCATGCATTAGCCAATCAACTGGTGCAACATTTACAGCTTCTGCACAGTTGAAACCACAATTAAACCCGGAGTGATAGGCCTTAGGGAAGGTTAGAATGAATTCTCCACTGCGTTGAACAGCCCGATAGACAGGTACACCCTCCTCCTTTAAGATTCGTGGAGATAACTGAGTGACCTGATAAAAAAAGAAGCGAAGAATGAGACACATACTATCTTAACTGTAAGACATCTCTCACCATATCATCTCCAAAAGTACACACATAAGGAGTTCTAATCAATCACCAAAGCTTGAAATGAAAAAAGAATTGAGAGAAACTTTCACCAGTTGATGTAGCAAGTCAGGCTGTTCTTCAAACAAATCGGGAAGACACTTTTTCAATGCGTTTTCAAAGGATTCGGCATGGGTTCCAGGGATTCCATACCAAACTTTTGGATCACCCGTGTGTAAATAGTTCAAGGAATAGAGATGATGATCTTCAACATGCTGTGTCAAGCAAAGTAAAGGAGCAGATTGCAGAGGTTAGTAAATAGATTCCAGAAAGCACAAGACAGAAGCATTGATTCCATAATTTTGGTCCCAACCGATTAACTTCCCGTAAGTAATATAATTTTGTTTCATCAGTAACAAGTTTTTCTAGCACTCTCCCATTAACCTTTTCCAGGCAATATCAAAAGATTATTCATGTGAATCTATAAATAACCAAGAATCTACCCTAAAGATAGTAACTTACCCAACAAAAAGTTGAAAAGCACATTCCAACATAAAGCCATGGCACAATAACTCCTGAGATATCACAGCTCTCAAACGATAGAACAGATCCGGGTAGACGGGATAAATTATTTAGGTTCCAACCACATTTAGAGTATTCATCTGCTTCACTTTTCGCAGACCCCGGCGAATGCTTTGGGAACCCACTTCCAAATTTCTTTGTTTCCAAGTCAGCTCCATAGTACACCTTTCATAGACCCAATAACAAGAGTTAGCAAGTTAAAAAGAATTTTGAGCAAACGAAAAATGGCAAAACCAAGAAAGAAAAAGATTCCTATGTACACACCTCTACTTCATCAGTTGCTTGTTCCACTATCCGCCAATATTCACCTTCGATGTCCTTAACCTTAGGTTTAAATTTCTTATTTTCAGACGTTCTGGAACCAGATTGATCCTCTACCTGAAAATAACATTCCTTAAAGTATTCATCATACTTCTGAAATTCTTCCAGGGTAAAATCTGGCCCACTCTGGAAACCGAATTTTCCTTCAGACTCGTGCTCGTGAGAGGAAGCAGCATCACAGCTTGAATCTTTTCTTCTTCTTGAGTATCCGATTTTAGAGA